TTCGTTTAAATTAATTTCGGTAGGAGATTAACAACGATAATATCTGCAAAAATTAAGTCAGATTAATTTTAAATTGAAAATTGTTTTGAATTAATTTCTTTCAGATTTAGTGCAAATCGATTTATTACTAAATTGAGTTAAAGGAATTATGAAAAACATTAATTCAAATTAATTTGAATTTCAAGTTAGTGTAGAGTTTTCGAAAATGTATACTAATTCGAAGCTCGAAATTCGTGCACATTAATTTAATATGAGACTTTGTATAATGCGATGACGAGGGAAATTAATTTTTTCACGAAAAAATGAACTAAAATTAATTTCAGTATTTTTAAATTAATGTGCATTAATTTGAAGTATGGTTTTTTATTTTTTTTATATTTATTCAAAGATTTAAATTGATGCGCATTAATTTTGAACGCGAAACAGTTTTTTAAATTAATGTGAAGGAATTTCCTTTCAAATTTGTTCAAATTCCTTTGATTCTCGAAATTAGTTTGCATTCATTCGAAAGTATTTTAAAGTTTAAAGTAAATAAAAAAAATGAAACTAATAACAGAATTGAATAATGAGATTCATTTTAATAAACTTACGTATTGTAAACCGATATATCAATTTTGAATAATGTATCACGTTTAGTTGATAATTTTAATAATATTGTACTGGCTATAGATTCTGATAATGTTGCATCATAAGTTTCCTTACGTAGTGTATCCGCATTTGTTAATGCAGAAAACGGATAAAAGGTCCTGACTCGATCAGTTAAGATCTAAGAATTTCCTACACACTCATATCATCATAAGAGAGCTTAGACTCTGGCTGACAAGAATCTGTCATAGAATACCTGCGAGTCTTTGCCTTTCAGAAAAAATTGAGCTTTTCACATCAAGATGTCCATCCAGACAACGGTTCACAAAAAAAGGAACTCTTTTAATGAACTGTTGTTGATGTAACACATCCAGACAGGGATCACCAATTACTGCCATTTTGTAACGAAAGTTTACTGAATCTAGTAATTAAATCCACTTATGCAAATATCATTTACTTTTCGAATTATAGCCGTTTTACTAAATCTCTGTCTGTTTGAGCGGCTTGATCATAAAAGCTCAATTTTTTTCTAAAAGGAAAGAACTTGGAGATATTTGAATGACAGATTCTTGTCTACCAGCATCTAATCTTTTCTAACAAATATATGGCACTATGTAAGAAACGCTTAGATCCTAACTGATCAAGTCCTTCTTGAAAGTGACAGAACTTTTTGACTACCCTAAGTATGAAAAGTAATACATACAGGCTTGATTTCCGTTTTCTGTTAGATAATCTTTCTAAATATTTGATATCATCATGATTGTCGTCAACAAGACGATGAAACACATGAGATATATCAGGTATCAGAAATGAGCGGGAACTGTCAACAAATTCCAACGATCCCAAAAATTAAGAGAAAATAAAAAGAAGGAATTAGTTTAATATCGAAGATTCTCTATTGGAGTTAAAATACCGTTTCGAACAACATGTATGGTGTGTGACGTTCACAACGTACGGGAAATGATTTTCGTTTCTTCGGTATGGTTGGAAAAAGCTACTTGAGTTATCTAGTTAAAGCTGATTTTGATATGTCTGGAAGTTATTTTCATGTGAAAAAGTTTTAATTTTTTGAAAATAGTCCAAAATTAGGAAAATATTCGTATTACTACTTCTGAAAGTTCAGAACTACTTTACTCTTGTTCCCCACAGGAAGTATAAAAAGCTAACTCTCGCATCTAACGATTCGTAAGAAACAAATATATATATAAGTGCTCTCAAATTATATTTGGTTTCAGCAGTGGTGTGTGTCTTTTTTGATCCGGTTGTTTTTGGTAAGGTTCCGTATGTCATGTGCTATTGGCAAGGGGGAAACACCGTACCCCGCTAACTCCGTCACTCCGCGGAGTTTAACCGGAGTGGACGGAGTAGTGGAGTGATCCGGAGTGACGGAGTGGGCGGAGTGACTCTGGAGTGAATGGAGTATGATGTTTTCCATTGACGTGCTTTGCTTTCTCAAATTCTGTTTTCATTTGTAGCATTGTTTAGCTCCGATTGTTCCTATGCTCCTAACGTTCTTATAGTTCCTATAGTTCTCAATATTCCTAGGACATTAGAACAAGGCGGAAACAGCAGACTTCACATGACTCCTAACCGCATATGGAGTCAGGGAGCCTATTCCTTTCCCCAAAACGGAACACTAATATTCAGTCCATTTGAGCATACTTTCCCATAACAGGACACTTTTGTTCCGAAAATCGGATGTATTTTCCAAATAAAAGAACAAATGTGTTACATCCTGGGAAATATTCTCCCAAAAAAGAACATTGGTTCTCCTTTGTTAGAAAAAATTCCCCAAAAATGCAACATTTTTGTTCGTATATGTGGGAAATTTGTCCCATATTTAGAACAAGTGTCCTGTTTGGGAAAACAAATCTAAAAAGGGCTGAGCTGTAATGTTCTGTTATTGAGAAATTTTTCACAAGAAGGCAGATCTAACATTCTATTTCTGGGAAATAAATGGGTTTAAGCACAAGTATTAGGTCTTCGAAAGCCTCCAGCAGACTCCAGTGCATCCCATACAACTTCAACGGATTTCATAAGACTAGAGACTGATGGAGTCTGCTGTTTTCCTCTTGAGATGACTACACTTGATTTCATGTGACTCCAAGGGACTAGAGTCCGCTGTTTCGCCCTTGCATTAGAAACTACGCGCACTAAAGGACCTACGGGAACGTTAGGAACTATGAGAACATTGGGAATTATGGGAATTGTGGGGACACTGCGAACTGCTATTATTATCGCTTCTTTCAAGAACTTGGATTGTTAGCACTCATCAGTGCTCTGCATACTATACCCGAGAAGACAGTTGATCGACAAACGCGAGAGAAAAGAGTTATAGCACTTGTCACTCCGTCACTTCGTCCACTACGGAGTGACGAAGTGAACCGGAGTGGAAATTCACTCCGCGGAGTAGTGGAGTATGGAGTACGGTGTTTCCCCCTTGGCTATTGGTCTGTTGCATATTTCTCGCATTTCTGGTCCAAGAGAGTTTTGATGAGGTTGCGTTACCTCTGCTTTGGATGAATGCTTTTATTAGTAGTTTTGTTTTCAGCGGGCTGTATCCTGCGTATTCGAGTTATTTTATTTTATTTTTGTCTTATTCATACATCATTCGATAGGGCTCGACAAACTGATTAAGAATAGCTAGTTTTTAGCTTTAAAAAACCGGTTATCGATCTATGGATCCAGTTATAGATACATCCCAGAAACCAGTAATCCATGCCCAAAACAATCATCAGCTCTACTGCACAGAACATATTTTTGGAATTTTTCTAAAATCGGCATTTGTATGAAATATAGAAACTTTTGTTAGTAATCTCAAAGCCTACTGTTGGAAGAATTAACATCTTACTTTACGAAATACTTTTCGTAAGATTATTAGTCGCGTCGCTTTCCCCATTATAAGTAGCTTATGATACCCTTAAACATTGTTCGCCTATTGGATAATCCTTCCACAAACGATTTATATAATAGATTTCTGTCTTCCTCGAGAGAGTTTCTGGATTTAGCGGCCGTATTTCTTTTATTTAAGAGAGCAGAAATAGAATACAACTAGAAAAAGAAGCAGAACGAAAGCATTAAGATTGGTGTAAATTAGATTATGCAAAGCAAAATGCTGCAATTGCAAAAGAATTTATAGTGAAAGAACAGGAAGCAGCCAGAAAAAAACATCAATAGAGAAATGCTGAGGAAGAAAGAAAGAAAGCAGAGGAGAATGCAAAGACAGCAGACGAAGCATGGAAAAAAGATACGAGGCAATGAGAACAAATGATTTATTTTGGCGACATCGACAGTAAATTCAACAAAATGCAGACCATCATCATCATCATCATCATTCGAATTCGAATCGTCAAACTGATTAAAACATTAATACTTTCTAACTTCCTCTTTTTTTTAAACCCATAGTTCTCTCATTCAAAATTTTAATTTTGTTTTGTATCCTGAATGGTTTTTTCCACTAATAATTGGTCTACGCATCCAAAAAAAACCAATATCTCTCTGTAGTTCCCACTGTAGTTATCAAGAATAAAAATTTAGTAATTAGACAATCCCATTCAATTACTGACGAAGGTTTTGCATTGAAGAACTTAGTAACTATATACTCAGCAGAGATTTTCAAATTTCAGGATTACTCTTCTCTAAACGCTATCCTGTGACTTTTATACGTCTCGAACTTCAAGTTCATATCAGAGTAAATCGATAACTCTTTAAAATAAAGCTTTTTTTCTTTCCAATAGATACAAATTTCAGATAACCGCTGCGAAGATCCGAACAGTCATCTACATCTGATTTCTTCTTAGACCGTGAAGAGGGCTAAAAAACAGCTGGTGAAATTTTAAATGTTACACATCGTTTGAATGTATCTCGACAAGGCGAATCGAAAGGCACTGAATATTCAACTGTGGAAAGTTCAACAAAATTTTGTGTTACATTTTTTATACTATAATGTCAAGTTTTCAAGGAAGAAATCATCTTTTCTGTCGAATTTATTTTCTGCAAACGCAACTCTCATATTTTTTCTTGTGTAAAGTTCGCACATATCTCATGAGACATCGGTTTGTGGATCTTATCGAACACTAGTTATCAAAAAAAAGAACGTATTATAATATATTTCTTACGTCCTTATTGCAATAGAGACATAGGAGGGAATTTTTGCTATATACCTGGACAAGAGTTACAGTCATGCTATAAAAGTATTTGAACGCTTTTCTAAGATTTTTTACGATGCGATTTTTGAAAAAGGTTTTCAAGAGGTCCTCCAGAGATCGGGTGTTCATTTTATTTTGAACAACATCATGTCTCGGTTACACACACAAACTTGCCTTATACTTTCACTTATACTTTCATTCTAAAAGATAACAAATAATTTTCACAACAAAAAAGACACAGTTTCAGTTTATATCGTCGTTTTCCCTCTAACAATAGAGATCACCACTTTCTAGTACGAACTTTTGAATGCGGCCTTTTTTCGAATCACCAACGTACAAGTTTCCGTTTGAATCGATTGCTGCGCTAACTGGATTATACAGATGTTCATCATCGTATCCCTGAACATGTATTACACCAGCTATAATGTGAGATCCACCATATTTTACACTCCATCTTGAAACATAATGACCAGAATAGTCAACAAGATACATATTACCATATTTATCCATCGTAATATCGATTGGATCAGAAACACCGGGGTTAGGCATGACTTCTGGTGAATTTATACCACGAGGATACTTTAGAAGTCTATCGTAACCACGATCTCCTACATAAATATTATCACATTGATCAATAACTAAACCTGCTACATGGTAGCCTGGTGTATCATCAATAACTGTTTCAGAAGTTGAATTTAATGACGAATACTTGATCATCCGACCGGTGAAATTAGCAAAAACTTCTGCCGCATAAATTTCTGCTTTACTATTCACATAAATTGCCGCAAAACTCCGATTTCTGCTATCATCAACCGTTACACCTTTTGTACTGTCGACAGGCCACATATGAATTCCATTTCTATCAACAATAAAGATGTTATTAAGAGGATCAACGAAAACGTCGGAAGGATAGTAGAGTCCACTAGCAACTGTAATCGGAACGTTTGAGTCCTTTATATATTTGACTATACGATGATTCGATGAATCTGCTAAAAATAAGTTATCATCATTATCGATACACATTCGTCCAACTGAGATGGGAGAGGAGTTTATTTCTTTCCAATAGATACAAATTTCAGATAACCGCTGCGAAGATCCGAACAGTCATCTACATCTGATTTCTTCTTAGACCGTGAAGAGGGCTAAAAAACAGCTGGTGAAATTTTAAATGTTACACATCGTTTGAATGTATCTCGACAAGGCGAATCGAAAGGCACTGAATATTCAACTGTGGAAAGTTCAACAAAATTTTGTGTTACATTTTTTATACTATAATGTCAAGTTTTCAAGGAAGAAATCATCTTTTCTGTCGAATTTATTTTCTGCAAACGCAACTCTCATATTTTTTCTTGTGTAAAGTTCGCACATATCTCATGAGACATCGGTTTGTGGATCTTATCGAACACTAGTTATCAAAAAAAAGAACGTATTATAATATATTTCTTACGTCCTTATTGCAATAGAGACATAGGAGGGAATTTTTGCTATATACCTGGACAAGAGTTACAGTCATGCTATAAAAGTATTTGAACGCTTTTCTAAGATTTTTTACGATGCGATTTTTGAAAAAGGTTTTCAAGAGGTCCTCCAGAGATCGGGTGTTCATTTTATTTTGAACAACATCATGTCTCGGTTACACACACAAACTTGCCTTATACTTTCACTTATACTTTCATTCTAAAAGATAACAAATAATTTTCACAACAAAAAAGACACAGTTTCAGTTTATATCGTCGTTTTCCCTCTAACAATAGAGATCACCACTTTCTAGTACGAACTTTTGAATGCGGCCTTTTTTCGAATCACCAACGTACAAGTTTCCGTTTGAATCGATTGCTGCGCTAACTGGATTATACAGATGTTCATCATCGTATCCCTGAACATGTATTACACCAGCTATAATGTGAGATCCACCATATTTTACACTCCATCTTGAAACATAATGACCAGAATAGTCAACAAGATACATATTACCATATTTATCCATCGTAATATCGATTGGATCAGAAACACCGGGGTTAGGCATGACTTCTGGTGAATTTATACCACGAGGATACTTTAGAAGTCTATCGTAACCACGATCTCCTACATAAATATTATCACATTGATCAATAACTAAACCTGCTACATGGTAGCCTGGTGTATCATCAATAACTGTTTCAGAAGTTGAATTTAATGACGAATACTTGATCATCCGACCGGTGAAATTAGCAAAAACTTCTGCCGCATAAATTTCTGCTTTACTATTCACATAAATTGCCGCAAAACTCCGATTTCTGCTATCATCAACCGTTACACCTTTTGTACTGTCGACAGGCCACATATGAATTCCATTTCTATCAACAATAAAGATGTTATTAAGAGGATCAACGAAAACGTCGGAAGGATAGTAGAGTCCACTAGCAACTGTAATCGGAACGTTTGAGTCCTTTATATATTTGACTATACGATGATTCGATGAATCTGCTAAAAATAAGTTATCATCATTATCGATACACATTCGTCCAACTGAGATGGGAGAGGAGTTTAATGTGATACCACGTTTTTGCCATCGTGGACTTGTGCAGGTCGCATGTGATGGAGGACGTTCAAATGGTTCACAATTGTTGGCTGTCGAAGTAGTAGTAGGCAGAGAAGTTGTGGTAGTCGTTGTTGATATTGTTAGAGCAGTATGGCAGTTCGTAGCTAAGATATCACAACAGATCTACACTGTAATCATGAATTATTTTCAAATTTATAGAAAATCCTCACCGACTTTCCAACTTTATAGAAAATGTTGATTTCAAGATTCTTGAAAATCGAGTCGATTTTCTATAAATTTGATCTTCTATAAATAATTTCCGACATCCTAGAAAATCGAGATTGATTTTCAGGTTTTTCCTTCTGGATCACAGTTCGTCGAGGGAATTATTTATAGAAAATCGTCGAGCATTTTCTATTTATAAAAAATCGAATTCCAAAGAATCTAGAAAAACCTCCTTGATTTTCCAGATTGTTGGAATTATTTATAGAAAATCGACATTGAATTTCTATAAATAATTCCCAAAAATCTTGAGAATCAAAGGGAATTTTCTAGATTCCTGGGAATTTGACTTTTTACAAAATAGAAAATCCTCGGCGATTTCCGTATATGAACTTTCTGAAAATCAAGGGCGATTTTCTATAAATAATTCCCTCGACGAACTGTGGGCCAGAAGGAAAAAAATTCGAAGTGTGAAAATATTCGCACTTATATTTACCCAAGAATGTAAAACAAAACGATGATTCAAGAAGAATGTTGGAAATTATTTATAGAAAATCAATCAATTTTCTAAAAACTGGAAAAGCCTCCTTGATTTTCAGAATTCCAGAAAATCGACTCGATTTTCAAGAATCTTGAAAATCAACATTTTCTATAAAGTTGAAAAGTTGGTGAGGATTTTCTATAAATTTGAAAACCTTCAGGGATTTTATAGGCGATTTTCTATAAAACTGAAAATAGTTCAAGATTACAGTATATATTCTGGTGATTCAATCGTTCTGTGACGAAAACCTCCGTCATGCTGTTTTTCACTGATATAGAGTCTGTATATCTGTCCTATAGAAACTTGATTTAAAGAATGACCAACCGTACTCTTTTTCTCGTGCCATAACTTGCCATTGCTTTAATATTAAGAAATACCTAAACATTGTTCTCTTGTTAAATGCTGCAGTTGCTGTCCTTGAAATGACACTAGATATTTTCTCAAACATTCAGCCATCTGTTTATCACATATACACACTGAATATTCACACGTTCCTTCACTATCTAGACAACTAATATTGCCTTTACGAAAATTTGAATCATATTCAACTGTTTGTGGTTCACAGTTGGACGATATTTTATAGCAATCATAGTGTGCACGACAACATCGATCAGTCGTATCCATAACTTTATTGTCTTCTCGATAGTACATAGAATTGCACCTTGAAAATGATAGACATAACTCATCAGTATCGAGTATAAAAAATTTGTATTGTTACACTTACCAGCAGTACAGTTGTGATCAGAAGAACATAGAAGTAGTAACAAGGAATCATTATTTATTTCTTGATTTGAATTAGAAGAGTAAAAGTAAATGCAGAATGATAGGATACGAAATGAAAAGTAGTAAATCCATATNAGCAGCCATATGATTCATATTCAGCACTTGATTTCTTCGTCAGATATGTGATCATTTCATCTAACTGAGATGAGAATAATGCAATTCTTGAACCGATACTTACAGTTGTGATCAGAAGAACATAGAAGTAGTAACAAGGAATCATTATTTATTTCTTGATTTGAATTAGAAGAGTAAAAGTAAATGCAGAATGATAGGATACGAAATGAAAAGTAGTAAATCCATATAACCTTGAATATGAGAAGAAGAGTAATTAAAATTTGATAACACTTCGTTCTCCGTTCGTATGTTTTTGAGAAAGGATTGATACTTTTTGATTTGAAAAGAAAGGAATAAAGAAAATATCGTTGTTGAGCTAATTATGGATAATTTCGAGACTTTTAGGATGCAAGTGTAAGAGGTAATAAAGCATCTAGTTAAAACACGAGAGTCTTAGTATGAAGTATGTAAGAGTTTAGCAAAAGATCAGCATGTTTTTCCTTCAGCGTGAAAAGGCTATCTAATATTATATAGGCCGGGTTGACTCAGAACAGTGAGAGCAGAAAATATACTTATAAAAGCCGAGTGCTGCGATAATCCGTTTTCTCAGATCTGAACGTACAACTTTTTTGGCTAAGAGAAAAACTTTTGTGAGGAGTATGCAGCTCATTCTTACTTTTTTCAATACGACCACTTTGCGAATTTTAAACAATTTTTGTTTCGCCCTGTTTTTCGCTACTCCATTGAAAATATACTTTTTCATAGACTTCCCACAACTAAATTATTGTAATCTATTATTATAACTATCATCGAAATACAAATTCCCATTCATATCAAATTTTAGATCAGCTGGCCCGTTGAGAAACGTGGAATTACTTCCACTTACACAGACACAGCTCCCTGCTGCACCAGCAATACAAATTCCTCCAGCTTCTATGTTATGAAGATTCCATTTAACGGTACGATAATTGTAATACGCAGCAATATTCTGGTCCTGTGAAGCCGAACGTCTAAGCACGATCACTGCAAAATACTGTTTTTTTCTGTTACAAAACTTTTTTTAACGGGAAAAAAGCGAGGCTGGTCCAAAAAGACCAGATTTTTACCGGAAGTCCTTTATCGGTGCCCCCATAGTCACAAACATATAGATAATTATTTGCGAATCTACAAAGATTCCCCATGGATGATGTAAGAGTTGTACAGTGATCCCTGTTTGTGTCTGACCAGCTATTACTTCTGGATTTTGAGAATTCAAAACATCAACAGCCATAGCGTAGGGTGTGTTATACTGGAAAAGAGTGGGAGTACCCGACGTGAGATAACTGCCACTAGCAATTGTCGTACTAGTACCAGACGTATCCGGTAGAAAGGTTTTTACGACACAATTTCCCATATCATCAACATACATCTGACCGGTATTTTCATCGAAAAACGCAGTTGATGGATTATTCAAACTACTTCCACCGAGTGCTATGTGAGACAAGTTTCGTTACACGATTATTCGTATAATCAGATGTATAAATTGTAGTATCGTTCTTTACATAGACTGAATACGTATACCCTACTCCAGAGATGATTGTGGTGCCAACTGGATCCTATAACGAACAGTTCAATGGACATACAGATGCTAAAAGATGTGACCCACGTTTAAAGAATTCTGTTTTGGGGAGTGAGATAAAATAGTTTACCTATCAGGGGCATTCTATTAAATGAAGATTTCCAGCAAGGGAAACATGGCGAAATCGGAGAAATATATGTCGAAACTAAATAAAATTTGTACTCTTTTTTGTTGTTCTTAAAAGAGGGAAAGGATTTTTCAGGGCATCAAGAAATACCTACTTTGTCGCAATCTACTATTTTCCGCTAAGCATTCTCTGTATCCGATAGAGAATGCGAAAAAAATTTTTGTTCAGAGTCTGGTCCGTACCATATACCGATATATCTCAGCTTAGCGTAAGTTGTGGTGCGATGGAATTCGACATGTTCGAAAAATGGCTGTTCAAAAACATTCGAATGTTTCGAAATTCTGCTTTCGCGACCGTCAGTTATCATTGTTGAATTCAGCTGAACATATATATAAGCGTATAGTCCCAGTTACTTCTGACACAAATATTCAATTTATTAAATTCTTCATGGCCTTTTTAATATTATCCAACAAAGATACGATATTATCTATAGCATAAATTACGGCATCATCGCCTCTGCGAACACCGAAACACAGATAACCAGTTGGGAGATATTTTCTACTGATTTGAGCGCAACAGTCAGTACATCAGGCATAACATCATCTAGTATTAATATTAATGGAATGTCTAATACGTTTGAACTTGACCAAAATGTACATTAATACTGAACTACGCCTTTGAATAGTCGTATGGCTGCCAAACACGCAGACGAATATGCAAAATATGTGATGAATTAGATGAATATAGTGGTAGAAAGCAAAATTTAAGGAAGACTATTTACCAATTGATTCGAATAGATCACAGTATTCAACAAACATGTTTTTTAAATTAAACATTGGTGAATTATTACCGTTACGTCTGACTGAAAGCCCTGATTTACAGCATTTCTTTTAAATCATTTATTTTCCACACTAGTAAAGTGGAAAAGCGTAATTATATATGCCACAGACTCTTACACAGTAACCCACTCCTCCATAATAGAAGACCACTGTCGATTATATGACTTGAAAGCCAAATAGAAGAGCAGGACGGACTACAAGTACGTGAGTTTACCGGTGGACTACTAGCACCCGGCAAAATTTGACCGTAATAGAAGACCACCCTTTAAAACTCGACTTGCGGGACAAAATAGAAGACCAGGTGGTCTTCTGTTAGGGGGAGGGGGGGTACAATAAAATATGAAGCAAAAGAAAAGAGTAGAATAAGGTGAGAATAAAACAAATGAGATACTAAAGGAATGATCTATATCAATAATATCATTGTGAGAGGGAACAATTAATAGAGGAGAAAAAAAATAAAAATAAAAAACTGCTGTCTGTATGAACTTTGCATAGAGGGTGGAAGATGAGAGGCAACAGCATCAAGACTGAACAAAACGTTTCGTATCAGCAATAAAATTTAAGATAGCATTATATATAAGAATCAAGTCATGCCTAGGTATACATCTTACAATAGCAGCTGGAAGCAAAATTTGATCAATTGTTACTGTGTCTATTTGAAGAACAGTCATT